AAAATTCTTATTGTGCTTTATTTTGTCAGAGTTAACAAACCAAACTTAACGCTACAGAGAAAAGAGTATTTTCTCCACCCCTGTTGTACTTTTGTCTTTTTTATTAAGCATCATTACAGAAACACATCATTCAATATTCTCACCCACCCCAAAAGAGAAGTTTTGTTTGTTACCTCTTACCGACAGTTATTTTGACAATTCTTTTCTGTAAGTCCATCCTCATCTTCTCCCATTATATCCACTGCCGAAAATATCAGTGCAACAAGAATTGCAAAGCAGCACACCAGAGCAAAGATCACAATGCATTTTTGCTGGGACTGAAAGAGATTGAGAAGATTAAAAATACATATTGTTTGCATGGAGTGGGCATCTTTTTGTCAATGAACTGAGATACTGCACTTTTCAATGGGATCTAAACCATTTTGAATATATTCCTGACACAACTGTCAACATGAAACATGCTTAAGGATGGTTTTGAAAGAATATTTCCATCCTACAGTATCATCTTGAAGTTTACATTAAATGTAGCAGTTATTGTTGAATAATTCATGTCACAAACAACATAAGGATATTTGAACTAATTGTCATCTGAACCATGGGCAAAGTACTATTGAATAAAATAGCCATTCCTCCATTAAGTATATTTTTCTGATTATGGACCATAGATAGGACATATATGAGAGTTTGGACTTGCATAAGCCTTGAGAGCTTTTTTTGTTTACTTGAAACAAACAAAAAAAAGCCAAACTTAAAGGCCAAAGAGCAAAAGAAAATTTCCTATTTCTGTATGTGGTAGGCCTGTTAATTCATTACAGTTAACAATTAAAAACAAATTACATCGATTAAAATAATCACAATTCATCATAGTGTTAAACAATAATAGAATACCAACTGAAATATATTGTAAATATTTTGGGATTTTTTCCTACATTTTCACGTGTTGATTTCAAATTATAAGATAGAATATGAAGTGTACAGTGCTCATTTTATATTACTTTGTCACATATATTTGCACTGTAAACAAGATAAAAGAGATAGTATTTTCCAATTTACCTCTTACAAGTACTGTAGTGCAATCTCTTTATCGTGAAAGTTTAGATTTTTTTTGTTACATAACTGCACTTAAAAACAAAATAATATTAAACTTTATAGCTTACAAGTTCACTCTGTCCTACTTCATGTTCAGGCAATTGCTAAGACAAACAAGTTTGTTTACATTTATGGGAGGGAATGCTGCTTACATATCATTCACAATGTCACCTGAAAGTGAAAACAGGTATTTACATGTCATTTTTGAAGATGGCATTGAAAGGTGTTTACATGCCAAATATGCTAAACATTAGTATGTCCAATCATGATTTGGCCACCATTCCATGTTTCTGTGTAGAGACTATTTGTTAAATATTTGAGGAAGAATTGTATGTCTCTTGCTCCATGCGCTTGCCCACCTTCTGCTATATATTTTGTGTCATGGCAGTCTCAGATGGCAACCCAGTGTATATTGTTTGATTTAAAAATATTTTCATTTCATTTTTTACAGAACACAAAGAACATAACAATGTGAGATTTCTAAAGATAGCTACAGCTATCTTTCAATTCGAGGTTTAAGAACCTGAAATGCCTTTCAAAATCCGAGAGGGATGAGGTGTGAAACATGCTGTCAGGAAACTTAACAGCATTCAGATGCAGAAACTACAGAACCTGAACCATCAAAAAAGAGGCATCTGACTCAGATGAAAATTAACGTGTGTCGGTCCTCACTGCTTTCGATCATTATTAAGCAAAATCCCTTATTAGCATAGAATCATGTCCTCTGGAATGGTGGTTGAAGCACAAAGGGCTATATAAATGTTTAGCATATGTAGCATGTAAATACCTTGCAACATTGACTACAACAGTGCCATACAAATACCTGTTCTTCAGGTGACACTGTAAATATGGAGCAGGCAGCACTCTTTCTTATAAATGTAAACAAATTTGTCTTAGCGATTGGCCGAACAAGAAGTAGGATTGAGTGGACTTGTAGCCTCTAAAGTTTTACGGGATTTTTTTTAGTACAGTTATGTACAAAAAAAATCCACATTTATAATTTGTGAGATGAACTGAAAAAAAATTATTTTATCTTTTTACAGTGCAAATATTTGTAATCAATACTATAAAGTGAGCACTTTAATTGTTTGACAGCCCTAATTAAAATGTTGAAGAGCATTTTCTTAAGCTTAGAGTAAGAAATATTGTGGTGGTAACTCATATATAATGTTCAGTAACTATAGATACATATGAACTTTTTAAAGTGACCGCTGGACATGTGCCTTACCCATGTGCCTTACCCAATCTTATTTGGCACAAATGGATAGTTCAGGTAATGAATGACATGTGTATAGCACTACCCTTACAGCTTCTCCATGCATTCCTAGTGGTGAAAAAAAATTACACAACGTACAGAGGAAAACAAAACTAAATTGCTGCCACCAGTTACAGATTTAATACATTTTCAATTATTACCTTGTATCTAAAATTTCTTGCCTAGAAAATACCCGAACCACATTTATTAAACCAAGCAATCTTAGTGTATTCATCTCCTATTTGCAACTGAACAAGCAGTGAAACGAGTCTAAAGGTAGTACATACTCTTTCTGTAGTCGGCCTGACGGTCATCTTGGAAGTGCTCCTGAGCCACAAGTTCCTTAACCTTCTTCTGAAACTTCAATGCTTACTTTTAAGTTACAAATCCATATCTGGATAGGGCCTGTTTTCAAATGTGAAAACAAAGCCCATACTCCAGGCCAAAAGTCAATAAACTGCTGTAATTAAAAAATACAAAAAAAAAAAAAAAAACCCACATTACTGTTGGGAATCTGTTGCCTCACATCTCCCGTCTTCTGTGCATTTTTTAAAATAAACTCTTAAAAAAATGACAACAGACTTCCCATGAGGAGTGAATTCTAAAATTGTGGCCAAGGCCAATATTTGCTGGGATATCAGGGATCTCATACTGAGGGATTCCATGGGAGCTGCGGCTTAGCCATAGTTTATAGTGATACCTTACATGGACCCGATAAGCTCAGTCCACCCTCTTCATCACATCCGTTTGCTATATTTTTGATGTGGCGGGGTTCAGCCTAAGGGCATAATGCTTTTTTTTGTTTACAAGGCCGTTCTGCCTGTAGTGCTGCTAAAGAAAATGCCAACAAATACACTAGTTGTGTGACACGAACACATCACCGCAATCTGCTTGGCACTGAGGGCTGGATGCTCCAGCCCTGCCCCTTCCAGATGAGGGTCCACTCCTTCCAGGAGCACAGAGTCAATCCCCACCATACTTTTTCGAGGGGCCAATAACTGTGTCAGCCCCCTCGCCAACACAAGCACGTGTAGGACCCTTCACACCCAAGGTTACGTTTTTGTGTTGTTTGGTAAGAGTGGGAAATCAAACCTACAAGAGCCAGCCCATTCCAAAAGTTTTCTAATGGACCAACAGCTTTACCATATTGGACAGAGGAAAGTTTTCAACTGACATTTTGCTTTGTTAAATGTCAACATTTATCTTGCTTTGTATAAGCTTCACCCTGGATGTTTTGAGCACTATAAGGCCTGATCCCGCCAGATGTTCAATTCCTTGAATTCCTAGTGAAGTCAGTGGTAGCAAAGGATGTCCACTTCTTTGTGGGATCAGCTTCAAAACCTCCCATGACATTTAAGGAAGTTAAAGACAATTAACAATGGTACAATGCTGTGCTTTCTGAAGCTAATCAAAGTTATTAAGAGTAAAACACAAATCTGTGATTACCACAGGGTAGTATGTATCAGTCATCTTAAAGCATAGGGAGAAATTCTTCATATCTCAGATACAACCACAAGATGATTATCACCATTAAAAAAGTTTATATTTATGCACAAGCATAGAGAATTACATTAATTTTATACTCTTGAACTTCACTTGACATACGGCAAAGCCATTGGTCTGTTTTTTAAAAAGTTTATTGTAATTTTTTGCCATCTTTACATTGGAAAATACTCCTTAAATTAAGGAGCTTCAGGGGATAGCCGAGTTAGTCTGTTATAGAAAAAAAACAGCAAGCAAATGGTCTGGTAGCACATTATAGACTACCATCTACATGTTTTGTTAGTCTATAAGGTGCTACCAGACCATTTGCTTGCTATTTTTTTCCTTCAATTAAGGTGACAGACAAACTAACATTCAATTAGTGAACCCTGCTAACAGAACACCAACAACATAAAACACAACCACCACATACACAAATTCCTACCTAGAAGTATGTTCCCTAATATAGTTAGTTTTAGTAATTTTAGAGTAGGTCCACATGATGAGAGAAGGGCATCTTACAGTATGGAATTCCAGCTACATAAATAATGTAGCTGGAGTCAACGTACCTTAAGCCAAGCTAGGACACCGTCTTCCAGATGCTCCCGTCAGCTTTCCTTACTCCTTGCAACAGCAAGGAGTACCGGCATGGACGGGGGCACCCTCAGCGTTCGTAGCATGTCCCCACTAGACCCACTAAATTGAATGCTGGATGATCAAGTGCTGCACTGTCAATCTTCCCAGTAATGTAGACATGCCCTTATAACTAAATGAACTTTTGGGAAAATGATACTTTGACATTATTTTTTGTTTGCCCAGAATGTATGTAGAGTCAGTGAAAGTTTTTCAAGGCCAGTCAATTTTCATTTGTTGATTATCTGAATCTTTCAAAGCAACAAGAAAAACATTTTTAAAAGAGTGCTTGGAAGTCCATAAAATTGGCAAGAATACTCAGAAGCAAGTGCAGAATTGTACTTACAACTACTTTTAACTCAGTGTTTAGATATACTACATTATAAATTGCTAGCCTCCCTTTGATAATGGAGTGTAATGAGTTTAAGGGCCCAAAGAGTTTTCAAATTATTCAAAAAACTATTTGCTTTCACCTGATGTCACAGAGCACAATTAGAGGGGAAAGCAATCATATTAGCCTGCTTATAAACTGATACAAATTCATGAAATGAAAACAGTCTAATATCTAGGTTGCTTATTTTTTCTCTCTCTGAATTTTAACTATATTGTGAGTTCTTATTGAAATAATAGCTTGCTTGGCTAAGTGGCAAATCTAAATCCATTGTTACAGAGAACATAACCAATGTCACATTCACAGTACAAATTACATCTACTTTAAAGAGAGATAAAGGAAATAAGAAGCCTGATGTTCCACAGCTAACCAGGGAGATAAAGGTAAACTAGATAATTATAGTGATTATGTATATCTGATCTGTGCTTTTATTTCACTTGACAAAATTGAGAGGTAATTTAGTAACC